ATTTTAAATTAAGTAACTTTAATTAAATAATAAGTTAAAATGAAAGTAAACCCTAAACCCCGTTCTTGATCGTCGATAATTGCTGAAACCAAGGTTACACTCGAAACCCTGGACACCAAACTACCTAAATCCTAAAGCCCCCTGTACCCCCTGTATTCCTTAAGCAAAGCACACACCAAAACTTGACAGGACCCTTCAATGCACCCGGATGACCCTTGGATGCAACGATCAGGCCAGGCACTGCATCTAAGGGTGTTTTGTGTGCATCCAAGGGTCATTGAGCGGTACTGGTCTGGTGGGATCATCGCCTTTGCTTCTGTCCCAGTGCCAGTCACTCGTCGCGAAGTTTGAAGTTGTCAGCAAGTGCTGCATTCAACTTAAACGTTGCATTCAAGGCTCCAGGCACCAAGGCACCCAGGCTCTCAGGCTCCAAGGCCTAGTAGAGTGTGCATTTTGACCCTACCCACACAGTGTACGCTGCCGTTACGTCACTGTGGGCACCGTTGGCCGGGTGTCGGGCCGCAGGAACTCAGCGTTGAGGCCAACCTGCCAAGGCAGTGGCAGATGACAGCTGGGCCAATGGGCTAATGCGCCAGCTGGGGCAAAAATCTGGGCCAGGGATCCTGTTGTCCCGCCAGATTGTTCCTGCAATGAGGGGGAGGCTTTACTGCTGGGATCATCGGCTTTGCTTCTGTCCCAGTGCCAGTCACTCGGCGCGAAGTCTGAAGTTGTGCAAGTGCAGAATTCAAACTTTGCATTCAAGGCTCCAGGCCCCCAGGCCCCCAGGCGCCCAGGCTCTCAGGCTCTCAGGCTCCAAGCCCCTGAGGCTGCATGTCTACCAGCCCTCCGTGCGTCTCCAGGCACTTTGAGGCAGTGGCTGGATGGCTGGGGTTCGGGCTTTCAGAGTGCCACCGATGCCAGCACGTTTTGGGCTCGGGGCGACCAAGCTTCCACAAAGATTGATACAAGTCTTCAAACTCGTCATTGTTGTTCGTCGATGATAGTTGAAACCCAGGTTACACTCGAAACCCTCGTTACCAAACCACCTAACTCCTTAAAGCCCCCCTGTACACCCTGTAAATTCCTTAAGCAAAGCACACACCAAAACTTGACAGGACCCTTCAATGCACCCGGATGACCCTTGGATGCAACGATCAGGCCAGGCACTGCATCTAAGGGTGTTTTGTGTGCATCCAAGGGTCAATTGCTGAAACCCAGGTTACACTCGAACCCCTCGACACCAAGCCACCTTTATCCTAAACCCCACCCTGTACCACCTGTATTCCTTCAGCAAAGCACACACCAAAACTTGAAAGGACCCTTCAATGCACCCGGATGACCCTTGGATGCAACGATCAGGCCAGGCACTGCATCTAAGGGTGTTTTGTGTGCATCCAAGGGTCATTGAGGGGTACTGGTCTGGTGGGATCATCGCCGTTGCTTCTGTCCCAGTTCCAGTCACTCGTCGCGAAGTTTGAAGTTGTCAGCAAGTGCAGCAATTTAAACGTTACCGTTGCATTCAAGGCTCCAGGCACCCAGGCACCCAGGCTCTCAGGCTCCAAGGCCCAGTAGAGTCGCTGCCGCCATGATTCCAGGCACTTTGAGGCAGTGGCTGGACGGCTGGGTGTCCGGCTTTCAGAGTGCCACCGAGGCCAGCATCGGTGCCACTCATGCCCGTTTTGGTCTCGGGGCGGCCAAACTTCCACAAAGATTGTTGGTGGGAACTGATTGCAGTGACATTGATGCACCGATCCATGGCCTTAGGGAGCTCGGCATCACGCACCAGCATTTGTTTGGGAGTGAGGTGGCTGCTGGTCCTCGGTCGGTTATCGAGGCTAATACCAAGCCCTCGTTACTGTTCCACAGTGTCCTGGATGCTGACAAGGCACCGTTCGTTCACCTGTACATTGCCGGCTTCAGCTGCAAGCCGTTCAGCCTGCTCCACAATAAGTCAAGGCTCCTCAAGGAAAAACAGGCTCAAATATTCTATGGGGTCGTTGCACGCATCCAACTTGTGCGGCCCTCGTGCTTCGTGCTGGAGAATGTGTCAGGCATCAAGCGTGTTTCTGCAAAGGTTCTGGCGGCACTCAGGTCCACAGGCTATCATGTCGAAATGATTTTGATGAACCCTGCCGAGCTACAGGAGCCCATCCAGAGGCCTAGGTACTACTTCATCGGGGTCCGGCAAGATGTGAGCCTCATCTCGCCAAAGGACATGTCGTGCTGGCTTCGTGAGGCTTGGGCGGAAGTCCAGGATTCAGTTGCTTCCGGAGACGCAGTCGATCTTTTGGATAGACTGCTACCGGCGAGCCACCCTGCTGTGGCACAGTACCAGGAAAGCCGCAAACGGAAGTGGTCGCAAGCTTCCAACCGTGGGTTCCCAGGCTCCCAGGCTCCCAGGCTCCAGGCTCCCATGCTCCAAAGTGGAAAGAATTGCACAAGATGTGCAAAGCTTCAATGCAGCAGGGCAGCCGGTTGAAGAGTGAGAGTCGGAGGCCTTGCACTGAGAGCGGAGTCGCCTGCTGCGCAGACACGTTGTTCCTGCATTTGCCGCGTGAGCGTGATGCCTGGGACATCATTTGCACAAAGCATGCAGGCAGTAAGGAGCTTGTCGCGGATGTATCCCAGAATGTGAACCGAGCCCGGGTGCGGACCGATGGCTCCCTGCCTACTGTTACACCTTGGGCCGTACTGGTATCCGCACGAGCTGGAAGGATCATTAGCCCGCTTGAAAAAGTCATGCTGCACGGTTTTCCAATTCACCGTATGGTTTTTCCCAGCAAAGTGACCGACAAGGAGCTCGCCAGCATGGGCGGCAACACGATGCATGTGCAGATTGTAGCCGTGGCAATGAAGTTTGCGCTTGCGTTGGTAAACTGGAGCCTGCCCAAAGCTTCCCGGCCGACAGCCTTGTGCAGCACCGTTGCTGCGCCAAGCATAACTGCTTCAGTTGTGCTCGGCGCAGCAGCGAAATGCCGCAAGCGCCATGGCAAGCCACGGAAGGCTCCCAAGGCGCGAAAGGCTGCATCGGCGCAGAAGCCTCCAAAGGCACCAAAGGCTCCAAAGGCTCAGAAGGCTGAAGGCATGTCAGCTTTGGCAAAGCGTTGGCAGAAAGTCTTGAGACCGCAGGCAGCAAAGAAGTGCTCGAGGAAGGGTGCCACGGCCACATTGGCGTCCCGTCTTGCCCATCGCTGGGCAACGTAGTAGTCATTAATTCGTCATATTATGACGGAGAATGGCATGCGTTTTCTAATTTGGCCACTCGGAGTTGGCATCATAGACTGACTTAGGTGAGGCCGGGTGCAAAATTCGGGAAAGCCTGCTCCGAGCAGTACAGATTATTTAGACTGGGTCACCCTGCCGACTCCCAGTGAAACAAACCGCCGCAGTGTGCATAGGAGTTCGCAGTGTTGTGCCATTCGGGCTGCTTGACTCGGGGTAATACCCTCACGTCTGCCAGGCAGCTGCTCGCTGTCGGATCGAACGGGAAGCTGGAGGCGCGGTTCTCGGGTTAGTCGGAGTCGGTTGGACCAGTTGCAGAGTCTGATTCAGTTCCAGTCTTAGCACGGTTGCCACGGTTGCGTTTGCTTGTCATCGTAAGTGCTGCGCGGTCGCTTCAGGCTCCCAGGCTCAAGGCTCCAAGGCCCCCAGGATTTCAATGCCAGTGGGTAGCCGCACCCTGCGTGGTCTTGCCGCTCGGTTCGGACTACGCTCCCGGAAGCAGGACCGGACGCCGACAAAAAAAAGACGAGGTCCACAAGGATGCGTGCCTGCGGCCCCGAAGAAGCTTCGGCTCGAGTCCGGCGAAGGCCTGGCTCAGGAGGGCGACGACGACACCGGAAAGGGATGTGGCGATGTTGGTCTCGCGACGGAGAGCGATGCAGAGCATTTGGCTCGCCATCGTGGTGGCGACGAGAAATGCAGCCGATGCAAGCTGCCCGGTTCAGAAACCCTAATTTTAATTTAAATTAATTATTATTTAATTTATAATTTTATTTAATATTTAAAGAAATTTAAATCATAAATGGTCTTATTATTAATAGGGTTTCTGAACCGGGCAACTAGACATACTACATACATACATACTTACATGCCTGCCATGCATGCATACACATTACATGTCAATCTATTTTTTCATTTTGGTTCTTTATCATCTTGCTGTCGTGTTTCTCTCTCTCTCTCTCTCTCGGTGGCTCTCTCTCTCTCTCTCTCTCCGTCGCTCTCTCTCTCTCTCTCTGTCTCTCTCTCTCTCTCTTTCTCTCGTTCTCTCTCTATCTCTCTCGCTCTCTCTCTCTCACTCTCTCTCTCTCTCTCTCTCTCTTTCTCGTGCTCTCCGTCTCTCTCTCTCTCTCTCTCTCTCTCTTTTTCTCTCTCTCTCTCTCTCTCTCTCTCTCTCTCTCTCTCTCTCTCTCTCTCTCTCTCTCTCTCTCTCTCTCTCTCTCTATCTCTCTCTCTCTCTCTCTGTTGGATCGTTATTGTTTGTGGCAGACTTGCTACTTGACTATGTTGCAGTTGCTGGTTGGTTCTTGCTTCCGGCATTCTCGACTTGATCTCGTCCGTTTGCATACAATCCCAACATGTCAGTCAGGTTCCTTCGCTTCCAGGAAGTTTGGAGCAAAGCCGGAAGCCTCACCCACACGTCTTGGGGCAAGCAGCAGCGGACAGTTTGGCTGGGCCAGAGACCAGCTCGCCGAGGAGGCGATTGGGGCATCGGCTGTCGCTTTTGTGCACACTTGATGAATGTTTTGGCACAGAACCCAGCAGAGCGGAAGAGGTTGCAGTCCGGCCGAATTGTGCAGTGTAGTGCGAGCGGATAGCCCCTTTGTGATCAAATTAAGGCTGACCGTGACCAGCCCAACTTTCGCAGCCCTAAATGCCTAAGGCTGGGCAGTCGCCTCTCTACCAAGGGGGGTGCCTATGAGGTCCGATCAAGGACCGCATCATGTTGTCGTTGTCAGCTGTGATTTAAGGCATCAGTCGCAGACTTTGGCAGGAGTGCGATGCAGGCATGCTGCATACACGCTCACAGCAAGACCTTCGTTCACCAGGTGGCCACGAAGGTTTACCTAGCTCCTGACACGCCGATCTCACAGTGCTTGCCTTACAGCATCAAGCATCAGCACCTCTTCTCCGGCAACGTTCCTCAGCCGGCAGATTGGCTGCGAGCGTGGCGGGCGTGCCGGACAGCATCTTCTTTCAAAGGTGCCGTGAAATTCTATTCCACGGAAGACTTCGCTGCTGGCAGGAACACGAAGCTTGACAGTGTGAGCCAGGATGCAGCACTTTAAAAGGCCTAAGGTTTCAGATTGTTGACATTTTATTTTGGCACATTTAAATTTAAAATTGGACAAATAATTTAATTAATCATCTGAGGTCTCAAGAACATGATTCTTGTTATGCACTGGGCTGTCAAGAGTGTTCGCAAGCAGCGTCTCGAACAAGCCACCAGCATCAGCTTGTCCGTGGACGACCGCAAGGAGTATCGTTTGGTGAGGTACCGTTGCGATGTTCCACCGCGCACTGCCAAGCAGTCAGCGGCTCCAGGCTCCCAAGGTCCCCAAGGCTCCCAAGGCTCCCAAGGCTCGGAGGATGGCCCGCTTGTCGCCGATGGCTTGCTTGGGGTCTACAAGACAGGTGCCAGTGTTCCTGAAAACACATTGGAGGAGCACGATGCGGACAAGAGTCAGGTGATGGCAGACAGCATAGGCATAGTCAGTGACAGGGCCTGTCAGGATCCGGAAGGCAAAACTGACGAGGAGTCCTGCAGCCGCTTGAAGCTGCACGTGCGGCACTTTGCAGCCGATCAGTGCACATCTGCCCGGAAGTGTGGAAGGTTGTTGGTCACTGGCGGCCAGTATCCTAACCTGGTCTGGGTAAGCCATGATCCTGCGCACCAGGTTCGTATTGCCTACCAGGACCCTCTTCACGCCATGCCCGAGTTCCAAGACCAGTGGGAGCGTTTGTTTGCTCCCGGCAAGGGCAAGCATGCGCTTATCCCGGACATCCAGAACTCAGAAGTCTGGAAGGCCAGGCTCATGGCGGCCCAGCAAGAGGTTCTCAGGCTCCATGGCTCCCAGGCTGGTGTGGAGAAGGTGATCCGAGCGTTGTCGTTCTCCCAACCTCGGTTTGACTCGTCGGCCACACCAATGCTGAAGTACTTGTGCATGATTCGTGCGATGGCGGTCTTATGTGCTATGCAGGCTGCTGACGAGTCTTGTCCTTATGTCAAACAAATTTTAAAATTATTAAATTTAATAATTATTATTTATTTTAATTTAATTATTGTGTATTAAATCTTAGTCTTAGTATGGATTGTATTAATGCATGTATGTGCGGATGTATGTATGTACGTAATTTTATTTTAATAAATTTAATAATAATAATAATAATAATAATTAATAATAGATTAATAAATATTAATGACAATGATTAATAACTATTTAATAATATATTAACTTTTATTCAATAATAACTAAGTATGTAGTCTTAGTATTATGTATATGATATGTAGTATGTATGTATGTATGTATGTATGTATGTATGTATTATGCATGGTAATTCACTTTCAATGTGTAGTATCTAAATTGAATTGTATGTATGTATGTATGTATGGCATGTACGTATGTATGTATGTATGTATGTATAAGTATTATGTATGAGTATGTATGTATGCATGTATGTATGTAGTATGTATTATGTAAGTAAAGCATGGATGTAAGTATGTATGCATGTACGTATGTATGTAGGTATGTATGTATGTATGTATGTAGTATGTATGTATGTATGTGTAGCGTTAAGAAATTTAAAGTATGTATGTGTGTATGTATTATGTATGTATGTATGTATGTTTGTATGTATGTATGTATGTATGATACGTATGTATGTATGTATGTATGTATGTATGTATTGTATTGGCATTGTATGTATGTATGTATGTATGCATGTAGGTATTATTAGACATATATTATTATTAACATAATACAATGTATGTATGTATGTATAGTATGTATGTATGTATGTATGTATGTATGTATGATGTATGTATGTATGTATGTATGTATAGTATGTATGTATGTATGTATGTGTGTATGTATGTATGTATGTATGTATGTATGTATGGCATGTATGTATGTATGTATGTATGTATGTATGTATGTATGTATGTATGACTGAGTATGAACTAATTTAATTTAATAAATTAAATTATTTTAAACATTGAATGTTTGTATGTATGTGTGTATGTATCGTAGTATGTTATGTATGTATAGTATGTATGTTTGTATGTTTGTATGTTTGTATGTATGTATGTATGTATGTAATTTAATGTATGTAAGTATTATGTATGTAGTATGTATGCATGTATGTATGTAAATGTAATAGTATGTATGTACTCTACGTATGTATGTCATGTATGTTGAAATGTCCGTTGTATGACACACAGGAGAGAAACACGGTCGAGATTCGCTCCCGAGCAGAGCGCGCCTTGCAAAACATGAATGCAGCAGCCCTCATGCGCTGTGGACTCACTTGCGACTACACATCTGAGTGCCTGGGTTTCTTGCGCAGGAACTTTGACATTGAGGATCCAGATGTATCCTGCACCCCCAGAGTACTGGAAGAGTTCACCAAGCGCCAGCGGTTCTTATTTGTGGATGGATACATCCTCTCCGACAGCTCGCAGGTTCCCAGTTCCGTGGACGGCTCCGAGGCTCCAGGCTCCCAGGCTCCCAGGAGGTGTGCAACCCAGTTAGTTTACGAGGAGATCCAGACACCAGAGCCGCAACTACCCTGCAAGTTTGTCGTCGTCATAGCGGTTGTGTTCCAGTAGGCTTCGCTGGTATGCCCGCCGTGGCAAACCTAGGATCTTCTATGGCAACAGAGTCCACTACCTGTGCACGAAGGCCGGCATTTCTGATGTAAGGCAGATCATGGGAACTATGGCGCACGTGGTCGAGGCGATGCTGGAGCGTTTGCGAGTAGATCTGACGGAGGATGAGATCGCCGTGGCTCTGCAGGTATTCAACCTTCGGCTGTGGCAGGAGACGAACCGACAACAGGAGCTAGTGGACTCTACACGCAAGCTCTGTGATATGCTCAAGCTTTCGCACGGTACAGCCGTGCTGTTTGGACGATTTGCTCGCAAATTGCATCCTCTTCTAGAAGCAGCTAAGTCAAAGGACCCAGGCTTCGGGAACAAACATGCGTGGTCTTGGTTGCTTCGGCCAGCGTGGCGTGCACGGCATGCACACAAACTTCCATGGACAGAGGATTGTCATGCCCTCATTGCTTTCTTCTTGTCCTTGAAGATCAACACGACCACGCTGGAAAGGGATTTGGGACACTTGCTCACACAGCTGGAGGCGCATTCCGGACCCCTCACTCCAAATGGCTCAACCATTGCCTCCATCCTCGAGGTGGCAGTTGAAGGTCCCCAGCGAGAGGAAGAATTTTTCCGGAAGCCGGAGAGTGAAGGTGCCGTGCTGACCCCAACTGACTTCGGGGTTCTTTGTGGTGAACTGTGGATTCGTCACTTTGGGCGTCGGTTCCGCATGACCTACAACAAAGAACGCAAGCAGGGGCCCAGCAAGCCACGCCAGGCACGTTCTGGAACTCTGGCTGCAATTGTCAGAGGCCGTGAAGCAGCCGCCGCCGAGGCAGCGAAGAGAGCAGAGGCAGCTGCTTCGAAAGGCAGGTCGTGGAAGCCGGCCTCTTTCGTGCCGGGCTTGAGCCTGCCTTTGCCGGCAGCGTCTGCCTCTGACCAGAACAGCGTTGCTGGCACACGTTGGGCTTTCGCCCGCCCCACACCAGATGCCCTCAAGCATTTGGAGAATTTCCGTGCACGCACACAGCAGAAATATGACGGTGACTCAGCAGCACAACGGTTGCTTTCCCAAAGGCTCCAAGTGTGTGCTTGGACAATACTTGGTTTGTTTTGTCCAGGAGAGCACCTCTGTCTATTCACTCACTTGGGTTTTTGCTGATCTACCTAAGAAACCTAGCAAAAAAGGCTGCATAAAGCAAAGCGGTCGCTGTGAAAAAACGGTTTGTCAAGATAATATCAGCTCCAGGATCCTGATCAGAGCTCGCAATCGAAAGAATCTCCGAAGTTTGAGCGGGTTCGTCAGAGAGAAGATGGAAACAATCGAGGGTTTCTATCCAATTGCCGCCGCCGATCAGCAAAATATGGAAAGTCAAAACACCAGTGTTTTATGATTTCGCTGCTGAGCTTTCGGTACATATAACCGAAACTTCGGCAGCGAAACATAATATTAATATGCATATATATATATATATAAGATTCCTGTATATATGTACTGTGTGTATGTATCTAGGTGTGTACACAGCCCCAAATAACTTCAAAGCTTCGATTTCTGATCAGGCTTCGACTGCTGAGTGGTGCTTTCGCATGAGTGGGTGCGATGCTGGTTGCCGCTGCAACTTGTGATCAGGGGCAGATGTTGCAAATCGAGTTTCATGTTCAGCCCGTACGGTTGGCTTGACTTTGCAAACACGATGTTTACTATCATTCAAAGCTGCTCGTACTATCGTGTGACATTCAATATGTTCGGAATTCATCAGCAGAGTTCGTCTAGCAAATAAATAATCTGCCCGCACAATTAGCTGCATGTTTTTCTCATGAGCCATGCCTGGCCTATTGGGTATCATCCACCAAGTGAAGTTCAAGAAGAAGCAAGGTGCCTCCCACCCTAGCCTGCTGCTGTCAGTTGTGCTGGAATTGTGTACATGCGAATACAAGTGTGTCTGCTGCTGTGCTCGAACAAAGGTTCTCCGAACGAGTGTTCAGGACAGCACGGTAGGTCTAGAGACTAATTCTAATTAGGCTTCGTGAGCCAGTGTTCTGGACTGTATTCCTCGAGCTGCATGCAAAGGTCAGGGTTTTGCCGAACATGTCTGTATAAAGTTTGCAGCCTGTAGTTAGCGACATGTCGAAGACCGACCGCGAAGTGTCGGCGGAGAATGGCAAGCCGGCAAAGTTCCGGGCAATTGCCTCGGAACGGATGTGGAATGGGGTCAAGGAGTCCGGTGTGCAGGTTTTGCAGCCAATACGGTTTTTTGTGACGGATCCTTTGCTGAATTGCTATTTCCGTGCTTTCATGTGCGGTGAGGTGTAGCTTGCGCAATTTCGCTGTTAAATGTGCATCAAGGATACTGCTATGAAGATCGTGGAAGTGCTGCGGCCGGAAATCGAGAAGCGGTTGGATGCACTCCGAGAAAACGATGAGTCTTAGCTCGTATAGAGTATTCGTACTGCTGGTGCGGCTGCCAAATGCTCTCAGGACCATCCGCTGCTGACTGTGTTCGAGGTGAAACTTGCGGAATGCGACCTGGTTGACCCGTGCAATTACGAAATCATGAAACGCTACGTCGTTTACCTGATGAAGGGCATTACGCTTCCTCACCCGGACTTGATATCGTGTAAAGAGCACAGGGCCGGGGCCTCACATCATGAGCAGTTCATTTCAATTAGTCGCACTGTTTCCTCGCATGTGTCTACTTAGGCTGCATGCCTTTATGCTGCCTGTGCTTACGGAATGTGGACCAGTGGGTTTATGAAGACCCGAGCCAGCCGGCGAAAACTCAAGGTTGGGGGGCAATTGCATGCAGTACATGTATCGTACTAGATGCAAGATTCATGCAGGAATGGGCCGAAGTCCATGGGACACGGCTGAAATGGCTAGCGGCATATCTCTGTGCCATTATACATCGAACTCCTTTTGCGAGGACCGTGTGCCCACCGCACATGTACAAAAAGTAATGCATGTTCTCTGCTGCAGGACCGCTGAGATCGCGGTGCTGAAAACCATGTACTTCCGTGTGAACGGACAATGTGTTCCGGCCCGGCGAGGGAGTTCGAGCTCGATTGGTAGCTGTTCTGAGGCATGACACCGTCTATGATGCGATAGGGCGGGGCTTGAGGTTTCATTCCGTAGTGGAGCTGACTTGCAGCAGGCTTCAGGCGATGTCGGAAGCGAAACGGCCGGGGCAGATCCAGAGGCCCAGAAATCGAGTCATCGATTGAGTATGAGCGCCCTACACGGCATTCGAACATGGATTAAGGGCGAGGACGACGAAGTCCTCGAAATTGACAGTGCAGTGGGTGACGACGAAGAGGCTATATCGGATGTCCAATTCATTTCGACAATTTAGCCGAATATATATGTAGTTCTTCTCGAATGGCAGGCCGACGATATCGATGCCATCGTGGCAATGGAGGCACTCCCAGGATTCCCCCGTCCCTGCTACCTTAAAGGTTTAGGCTTTGGGATTTGGGGTTTAGGGTTTAATCAGGGCTTGGGGTTCTGGGAAAAATCTTCAAGCAAGTTTTTCCCCGTCTGGGGTCGCCAGTCTTCAGTGGGTTTAGCCCGTCCAGGATTTAGCCCGTCTAGGGTCGCCAGTCTTCGGTGGGTTTAGGCTTTCGGGCTTATTATATGCGGTTTGCGATTTAGGGGCACCGTCGCTGGTTCGGAGGCTCTTAGCTTTATAAGTTTCAGCAGTATAGCACTAATCTTATTCCGAATACAATATGTTGGCAGGTTGATGCCAGTACATCGGTGCCAGCTGGTGCCACCGAAGCTGGAGCAGCTATGGAGGCATTCGCATTCTATAGCGTTTAGCAACCCCGTACCCATGTCCCCGCCTGTAGCGCCAGAGTTTTTTCTAGTCGATTGTTGGCAAGGATTGCTTGGCCCGTGAATCTAGATATGGTCTAGCTGCATACCAAATCCCACTATCAACAAGCAATGCAACTTGTTCTCAGGTTCCTACGACATCGGTGGCAGCTGGTGCCACCGAAGCTGGATCAGCGGAGGCATCCTAGAATTCCCCAACCCCTGTCCCCGGGTGTGGCTATATAGTCGTAGAGCTTGCTTGCAGGTTCCTGCCACATTGGTGGCAGCTGGTGCCCCCGAAGCTTTGGATGAAGAGGCATTTGATTAATACCTCGATCCCTAATCTCGGTCCACCGCAGCCCAAATGCTTTTTCGCAGGTCATTCAGCTGATCGAGGAGTCGCCGATCGCTCCCCTTCATGCTCAAGCGGCTTGTCGCGACGGTTCTAGATCTGGCACTAGTAGCAACTAACACTTAAAGTTTATGTCATCAAGCGACGGATGAGTTTAGGTTTAGGTTTGGCTTTCGTGTAGTAGACGAACAGCTGTGGGCCATGACAAATCCGGGAATGTTGCTGGAGTCATATGATTCCTGAATCTACATTCGATTCGAGATCATCTTGTTATTCTAGCTTATGTCAGATAAATATATACAGAGAGAGAGAGAGAGATAGATAGATATACAAAGATGCATATGCTTGTATATATATATATATATATATATATTGCCCTATGACCCCTGGGATCGCTTGGATGGTCTTTGCAGGTTTTGAAGGGGTTCGGGCTTCATTATTGGGGTTCAGCCAAGGGTTCTTTTGATCAGAGGCCGCACAGCTAGCACATCTAGTGAGGGTCACGGTTCAGGTTTTAGGGATCCGTGCTCATCACACACACACACACACACACCTGTACAATAATTTGTTCCAGCCTCACCCTGTAACCCCATCGACAGTCGCATCAGGCCGCCGATGTGCCCGACTCACTACGACAGGCCACTCCGATTGGTAGCCCGCGAGAATAGCAGAAGTGTGACAAGGCTGATTGCATTGATACATTATTTTCATGAATTCAGGAGCCGGTACCAGCACTGCTGCCAAGAAGTTTGCAAGGTGATTTCGCTCCTTGCTGTGTACTTATTATCTTCTCGCAGCCACTCGGACCCCTAAGACCGCTAAGTACGGATGCACATCCCAGGCAGCCGCGACGACAGATGATGTGACGATGCCCTCAGCTCATGATGATGTCGAGGTACCTTGGCATTCAACAGATATTCGTGAATGCTCGAGTCGTGCACAAATCAATCGGCTAGTCACTGCACAATGATATTAATCGACTCAGGCTACGGGGCCGGTCGGGGTGGAATGTTGCAAGCGAAACTCCAATGGAGCCTTCAAGGTGCATCTTTTATGTGTTTCATCATGATTGTAGTTGTAACATATTCACCTTGTGCATTTGCTTTCAAGAGGACCGGAAGCCACTTCTGCCGAAGGGCAACTTGCCCTTCCATTTCGAGGTTGCTATGAGCCTGGATGTTTCAACGGGAGAGATTCGGGGAGAGCAAGCTGCTTTGAGACAACAAATTCGTGAGGACATGGCCGGGGGGTTGCACACGTGCGACATCGAGTTGAGTTGGACCTTTAGTGTTGATAAGCCCTTAATTCCCAGGAGCAAGCGCAGAAAAAGCTGGCGGCCAAGAAGCGACCCGCAGAGGTTGAGCTCGATGGCACGGCCAAGCGAGCCCGGGATCAGGAGCCGGCCGGTGTCGCACCTTTGCTTAACTCTGCTCTAGGGCTAGTTCCTGAGATAATGTAGGAACTTGATAAAAAAACGCTGGGTCCTCAGTTTTTTAGGGTTCTTATTTATGAATCCTACTATATTTGGGGGTCAAAGGGACAGGGTTCTTCGCACTGGGTTCCTACGTTATCTCGGGGGCTATCGAATCGATAATGTTCCCAAGGAGTCGGGCGATGTGGCTGCCGATGCAACAGGTGTGCCCGAATCCGAATCGGGCAATGTGGCTACCGATGCAGCAGGTGTGCCCGAATCCGAATTGGGCGATGTGCACGTGGCTACCGATGCAGCAGGTGTGCCCGAATCGGGCGGTGTGCAAAAGGCTACCGATGCAGCAGGTGTGCCCGAATCCGAGTCGGGCGGTGTGGCTACCGAGGCAGCAGGTGTTGCCGATATGAAAGCGGCTGACAATGGTGCTGTGATCGGACCGGACGGTGTGGCTGCTGTCGAGCCCGAAGAAGATGAAAAGATGCCCGAGGAGCCCTCAGCCTCCAAAGCGAAAGCGAAAACTGGTAAGCCCTTGAACCGTGCAAAGGGGCAGACCAAGGAGCCCTCACCCGCCAAGGCAACACCAGAAGCTGCTAAGGAAGCCAAACGGGCAAAGGAGCAGACCAAAGCCAATGACAATTTGGCATGGCTTAATGTGCAACCCGGCGTGATCGACTGCTGCCTCCCATCCGGACAACAGGTTGACCCCTCTCAGCTCGAGACCCTGTTTCTTGCCTGCATGTTGATTGGACAATAGCATGCAGTCTTGAGCATCTTATGAATCCTGATATCGACTCCCTTCGAACAACCGATCTGTTTCGCCAGATACTAGTTACTAGTTTTCCCCAAACCTTCAAGCCTACACCCCTAAACCTTAAACCGTTGCGGGTGGTGTCTTCCGAGTCACGAGAGAAGTCGAAGCCACAGGTAGCCTTGGTTTAGAGGATCAGATAAAACAGCCTACAGATCTAGAGGTATCGACGGTATCGAGTGGGTTATTTTGTACTGGGTCGTCGAAGATGCTAGTATAGTGGACTGCAAAATATAGTTAGCTTTTTAAATCTCAGGAGCTTCGTCGTCAAGGCCCCACCACTTCTGGTGAAGGCGGATCCGAAGAGGTACAAGGGCATCACGGTGTTGCTGAATTCGAGGGGCTTTTATGTCAACAACAGCTGTGCTCCATGCCCGGGGGTGAAAGCTACTTGTCTGTACATGTAAAGCCGTTTCCACCTTCTCCTGCATTATGAACGACAGTGTGCATGTATACATCCGATCCAAGGTGGATAAGAAAAAGGGCTCGACCTTGCCCTGGTCCCGCGGAGAGCTTCGACATGTGTGGCTCTTGCTGCACTAGCTAGGCTACATGAGACTTTCTGCCCACACTGGTTTTGCACACACTGGTACTAGATGACAGGTGGACTTCTAGCCGAGTGGAGCTGAGCTTGGGGTTTTGGGGGTTAGGGTTCGGGGCTTGGGCTTTGGGGTTGAGGGTTCGGGGTGTGGGGTGTAGGTTGTACCCTAGCCTGCTCACATATTGCTTGCAGGTGGCAGCTGGCAAAGTACATGGCCGGCTGGATCTCGCCGGTGGATCT